AGGGTAAACGGAAGGCCTACAAATGACTTCTGCGCGAGTCCTGCGCTTGTAGATCGAATCCGCAAAAAAACAACATATCCGTTCAGCAAAAAAAAACGTTTTGATCATGGATCAAGTGCTTTCATTTCGAATAGTCACGGTATTCTTGTAAAAAGGCTCAAACTACACTGAGGAGCGAGCATATAGCCAGTTGCTCCGCCTTTCACCAGGAAATTGAGCTAAATTTCGAAGGCGATGACATTCTAGGGATGCACTATGCCAGTTTTCCGAGCTTTAGTAATAGAGCTTCTGATAGTAGTGCAAAGACTTGGGGAGTTTTTTTCAGGACATTTCTTTCACAGACTCCACCCTCTGCGTGGTGTGGACAATACCAATTTATGACTGGAGTTGAGAAGTTTTCTGAAGAACTGGCGATAGGAGTATCTGAAGTGTTCTTCCAACCTCTAGTTATCCTTCCTTGTTGGAGAGAGAAATCCATATTATTCAATCATTGAAGCCACTACTCTTTTTTGGTGCACTTATGTGGCACGATTTATTAGTCGTGTTCTCCCCATTCATTTTGACTAAAATCTGCGTACAGTCAACAAAAAATTCTATTTTTCATATGAGCACTGCATGGCTACACGTACCAGGCACCGAAACAGAAGGCATGTACAACGTTTTCAGCGATATTGTAGTTGAGAGCAATTATCGTGTCTATGAGAAAATTGGAAAAGTCTCTGGTTTGCTCGACGACCCTCTATTCACACAATCTGAAACCCGAAAATCCATCTTTACCCATTTTGCATCCCTCACCTCAATCTTTTAGAAAGATCTGCCGAAGGGGATGGGTACAAAGTGCACGCAAGAAATTCTAGACTCTCTCTCGCAAAGGCAGAACCCGCTTAGCAAGTGACATGCAGCCGCTTTGATGGGGTTTCCTTCTACATGAGTTTCCCAGTCGCAATTGTGGAAAGTCAGGGTATGAAAAGCAGGATGGCAAACATCCTCGAACGGCTGTGAGGGTGAGACTAAAGATAAACTGTCTCTGTCAAATCCTTTCCTGGCCTTCTTGAAATGTTTGGTAGGATTCAGTCCGCCCCAAACAATTCCGGCAATAAAATACAGTTTTGGGTGGACTTGAGCATTGACACCTCTGCCAGAAGAATGTACCTTCGGAACACATTCATAAATACGTCGCAATTGCAATGGAACTCGAAAGCGCAGATTAGCTCGAAGGGATACATTAGTAGCTGGTCACTGCTTAGGACACATTTCATATTTCGCGATGATTCCTTAGATTGAAACCACTGCACGGGGAATGACACCGTGAACCGCAATATAACCTCGTCATCCGGGCAGTTGATTAGGGCGGTCGTCAACGGGCCGCAGCGCGTGCCAGGAACTATTTGCTTTTCCAGGCTAATTTAGTCATTTTTTCCACCTTGTGAAGATAAGGAGCTGCTAATCTGGGAAAAAGTAGCCAAAACAGTGAAAAGTTGGAAAAAATGACTAAATTAGCCTGGAAAAAGCAAATA